CATAAAATAAATAAATCATAAACAATTTAGTCAAACATCTGAAATGTAACCAAATGTGTTTTATTGAAGGGTTTTCCGCATTTTCCATATAGATGAATGATTGAAGCTGATGATGATCAATGCAATCTAGCATTTTTATGTTATACCATATGTTTTCTCTTGGCAATTATTTGCTATAAAACGGAGCAATTTATATTTCAAGTAGTGGAACAACCATTCTCCATCTTTTACACGGGTATTAATTTATAAATCAGACCTTAAGTCACAACATTTACTTGTTACATAACCAATGTAAACACGATTGGGAGTAGTATACAGTATAGGGATGTATAGCATAGGTAAAAGTCATTTGATAATATAATTTACATGAGAGAGAGAGAGAGAGAGAGAGAGAGAGAGAGAGAGAGGAGAGTACAACATCTCACGCGGGTCTTCATGCCGCTCTGAGTATAGAGATAAGTGATTTGTTAAGAATGGAAAATAAGAGGCGACGGTCAGCTCAGTATGGATCACTGTAGAGCCCTATAGCGATTCATTCTCTATTATAGCTCACAACTAACTGTTGACTGTTTGCAAGTAGGTATATTTTACTCGCACTCGTGTGTAGAGTGCACTCTAAGGGAAAGTCAGAGAGCTATTGATTGTGTCGGCTATTCTAGATCTGCAAGAAACTTTTCGCTGCGCTCTGGGTTTTCCCAGACAGTTCGATTGAGTTCAATGAAACAACTTTGGTGTATATGTACCTCATGGGTATGTAGGCACGGGCTGTGTTCACTGAACACATCGATAAGGGTACGTGTATTGATCGCATAGGCTCTGTGAGTTAAAATATCGTCACATGAAAAGTTCAGCTCAAGGCCTGCAACAGAGAAGAATAACGAAGACAACCGAAGTGCTTTGCTCAGAGCAAGTGGGAGATTAAAGAACCAAACGGTCAACTATTTTTTAGAAGCTATGTCTAACAATAATATATATTATAAATAATTCTAACTGAAGCGCTAGAAAGCACTTGATAATAAACAAATAATAAATAATAATATATATACTCTATAAAAACTCTTCAAGTCTTCTAGCGACCATTCATCTAATTTCTCATTTAACTTACGTTTGCATGTGAACCGATTCCAGCGAATCGAATTAAGTACACACCTCATGGGTAATTCTCCGAAAATCGAATAAACTGTTTATATAAATAACGTATACGTCTGGCAAGGTATATATGTACATACATATGTGTCAAGCACCAATACAGTAGAGGCACCTGTACACGCACTTAATATATGCAGCTGAACAATATGAATTAGATTATGTTTTAATTGTGTATTCATGTGGAGCAGCCGGCTCGTGTTGCGAGTGTGTATGTGTGTGTGTGTTTRTCAATCAGCTCCACACCAATTGCCGCCATAATTGACAATCGCAAATAACGAAAGATTACAGCCAGACAAAAAAAAAGGAAAGCAAATCGTTGTAATTCTATAAAACTTATTTGCATTAATCTGAAAGCATAAAAATTAATTTTCGTTTTTATACCCTGTACTGGTA